TTAATTCTGAATTATGCAACTGTTTCATTAATTTAATTCAAGTTCAAATAATAGTGTTATTGCATGAGATGGCGGATTTCCCTAAATTAATTAACCAGCTTTCTCAAGTCAAGCTAATCCTTCATTTGTTTGCTAAATTACTCATATCTCTATGTAATTTTAAACAAACTAATGAGCATTAAATTCTATGAAACCTCTAGCTTAAGAAGGGAGAGCTACTAACTCTCTTCTCTTCCTCCACTACCACATGTGAGCTAATTACCTCTCGGTCTCATAGTCTAGCACACGGTTTATATTATTATTGGTCTAATTTACACAATTCTTTCTCAAGTTCATGCATAAATCACTAAATCAATTGAAAGGTGGTCAAGCTCTCAATGCATTAAGTTCAATAATATAAACTCATCATGCAAATAACCAATAAATCTTGAATTAAACTAACAAAAACAGTCACATACTTCAAAAATTAAAATCTATCCATCCTTAGTTCAAAGAAATCTAGCCACGCATGTTTCTATTCTCAACAGCTATGAAAAATAAATCCCAACAGAAAATCATAGTAAGAAATTCGGAAACAACAAAACCCAAACTATGAAGAATTGCAATTGGCCGAATGGTGTTCTGTGGTCGGGATCTCCCAAGAAGGCTGGGCGGCAGCGTGGCTGGGCAGTGAAGAGCAAGGCTGGGCGGCGGAGATTTCTCTTCCGCTGCTGGTGAACAACAGAGGCGGGTGGCTGGGATTTTGGGCGGCTGGTTGCTCTTGACTCTTGCGCAGAACAGCTTTTTCTCTCCCGTCTGTGTGGCTTGCGTCTCCCTCCGTTCTGTTTCTGCCGAATAGCATCTATATATATCTCCAGAAATTAGAAACCCCTTAACCCTAGCAGACATGGGAATTGGGCTCTGGTTTGGGCCTGGACTGTAGTTGGCCCACACCTAGGAAACACAGCCCAATTCTCTTTATTTCTGCACTATGTCCATGTCAAAACCGTCACTTTCAACCAAAAATCTGTATTGATACAGCTAGAACTGGGTTAAGCTCATAAAACATCAATTGTAGCTCTGCCTCTTAGCTTTCCAACGCCTAAAGAATCAACTCAATCCGATGCCTAGAGAAAAAGATATGGTTAAATTACTGCAGCATGTGCAAATTATCACTTATTGCAAAATTAATTTCTATCTTAATTTTCACCCACAAATAATGAATTTAATATAAACAAAAGGTGAAACTAAGTTCTAAAAGACCCCTAAATTTAATTCTAGGCTCAAAAAGGGTAGATAAATCCATATAAAAATTAAACTCATGGAATCCTTATTTGGGGAGGAAAGTGTGGTGGAGGGTTACCGGAAAATATCAGCAACATAGGGTATGTTGCTGATATTTATTTTCAGCAACATACCCCTTGTTGCTGAAAGTGGAGTAGCTTTTGGAGGGGAAAAGTGTAAGGCATAGCTTTCAGCAACTAAACCCTTGTCGATGATATAATTTTTCAGCAAGAAAGGATTCCATGTTGCTGATATTTGTTGCTAAAAATCAAAATTTTAGTAGTGCGTATATAGAATGCTAATTAAGTTTTTGAAATTTTAAATTTTTGTATGTTTGGTAAGAAAAATAAAAAATTAATGTTGACAAACGGGCCGTGAAATGAGTTTCTTCATGTTGTTGGTTTTTGTTTTTGTTTTTGTTTTTTTGTTTTTTTTTTTAATTCTTTTAATGAATATTATAGTTTTTTATTTTAAAATAATTTTCATTTTTTAATTTTTTAAAATTAAAGATTTAAAAACAATTCATATATTTATTTATATTATCCTTAACAAAAAGTTAAAAAATAAAGTAGGATTTTTTGTGAGAAGATAGTTAATTGAAAAAATAGATAATTATAAGGTTAAAGTAGGGAAAAAATTATCTATCCTAAAAAATGAAAAAATAATAATTAATTGGAAACAAATTCATAATCAAATAACGATAGTTATTTTGGAATGAAGGAAGTATATAACAATTTATTACTTAAAATTTGAGAATAATTTATACATTTATTTATATTATCTTTAACAAAGAGAGAAAGAAAAAAAGAAAATTATCAAGAGACCCCTTGTCATCTAATAATCTAATAGTTAATGTTTTGTTGTATAGTAGTGTGTGTATATATATATTGTTTTTTTTTTTAACAGAAAACATACTATTATTAATTAATAGGCGGAATACAAGGGTACTCCAAACCCATTTACATTTACATCAAAAGTTAACGCAAGGTGTCGACACTCAAAAGAAGTGTTGACACTACGCCCGTGACGGGGATTCTGCTATCATTTGCATTCTCAACAATTCTCCCTGTTTAGGTCCACAAACCACACCCGACACACCCACTGACCCACAAGCCATTGATCATACATTGACTATAGCTGAAACCCACTACAGTCAATGATTGCTCAATAAGCCTACATGAGCCCCCATTACACAGCACCTTAATCCTTTGAAACAAAACGAAGGTAGACCTTCCAACCATCACCAATACCCTCCCCTCCCACTCCCACAGATTATTTATATGGTACCTTTCTTTTCCTAAGGCCATCTTTCAAGCATGCCACTGGATTAAGAAACCAATCCATTGAAGTGAAGGCGTACCTTTCTTTTTTTGCTGTGATCCAATGAAACGACTTTAATTGGATGAGTTCCAGCAGCTTCTCCCAATTAATCTCTTTGCCTTGGAATGTTTTTTGATTTCGAGCCAGCCACACTGTCCACACAAGAGAGTTCCAAATGCAATCCCATCCTTCTCTAATACATTTCTCTTTTAGTTCTCTTCCAGCCACTTGAAAGGTATTCCAGCAGTCCGCTCCCAAAGTAACATTAATACCCCACCATTTTGCACAAGCCATCCATATCCATTGGACCATACTACATTCCATAAACAGATGCTTTGTATCCTCCTCTATCTCACCACAAATTCCGCATTTGCAGTCTTGAGTGTCTTTGATGATCCCTCTTGTCAACAGGTTCATTTTAGTTGGAATCCTGTCAAGTGGTAATTGCCAGTTGAATGCTAAAATTTTGCTTGGCAGAACGGAATTCCAAATTCTAGAGAAGGTTTTAATTTCCGTTGCTTCCCTCCCCTCTTTCGTTAAAATTGAGTATGCTGATTTTGTTGAATATTGGCCATCCTTGTTGTGGGTCCACTCCCAGCTATCCATGCATCCTTGTGACGGTTGCACATTTTGAATCGTGTTGTGTAATTCCTTTGCCTCCTCCTTTTCCCACTCAAACAAATTCCTTCTCCATGTTAAGTTCCACTCCCACAAACCGTTAGTTCTACTTCCCATTTCACTGCACATCTTCATCTTCTCTGTAGATAACAAGTACAGTATTGGGAACATATTAGCTTGACTCTCCTCTCCCCTCCATTTGTCCCACCAGAAACTGACCGTATTACCCTCCCCGATCTTAACCCTAAAACCCTCTTTTAGCCATCATTTGCTTTCCCCATCCATTGCATTTATACCACACACATCCCTCCACCAAGTTGATCCTACTCCTCTACTTTCATCTATCTAGTCCTGCCAATGCCCACCTCCCTTTCCATATTTTGCAACAATAATTTTTTTCCACATGCCCTCCCCATTTTCTGCAAGCCTTCCCCACCATTTTCCCATCAATGCCAAATTGAATTTCCTCAAGTCCCTCACTCCTAAACCTCCTTCCTCTTTTTTTTTACACACTTTATCTCAGCCAATCCAATTTATTTTTCTCTCATCTCCTTCCCCCCCTATAAAAAACTTCTACGTAATTTATCAATGGAATGAATTATACCTTTTGGGATAATATAGATAGACACCAAGAATACTGGCAGACTTGATAGCACTGAATTGATGAGCGTAATGTGGCCTCCCATAGATAGATACCGACCCCTCCAGCTGGCTAACTTCTTTCTAACAGACTCCACCATCGGCTGCCACATAGCTCTTCTTCTGTGATTCCCTCCAATTGGTATTTCCAAATACCTAAATGGTAATTTCCCTTCCTTGCAGCACAATTGAAATGCCATTTTAGCACACCAATTTTGATCAACTCCCACACCAATCAACTGGCTCTTCCTGAAATTAATCTTCAATCCCAAGGCTAACTCAAATGTCCACATAATACATTTGATCACCCAAATGTTGTCTTCCGTTGCATCTCCAAAGAAGATTGTGTCATCTGCGAATTGAAGGTGCGTGACCATCACATCTCCGCTCCCAATTACCACTCCTTTGTACCTCCCCTTCTCCACTACCGATGCCACTATTCCATTCAATCCCTTTGCCACTATCAAGAATAAGAACGGGGATAATGGATCTCCTTGGCGAATTCCTTTATTAACTGGGAATTGGTTCGTTGGACTGCCATTGACAAGAATAGACACCGAGCTCGATTTCAAGCACTCCTGGATCCATTTCCTCCATGTTGCACAGAATCTCATCCTCATCATCATATATTCTATGAATTCCCAGCATATATATATATTGTTAAAACTAACAAAAGATAATGAATGGTCTGTTTTTTTAAATGTTTCCAAGAAAAAGAAAATGGGAAGCCTACTTTATTTTTTTGATGACGAAAGTCAACTTTTTTTTTT